TCTAAGTTCTAAGTCGGTACAGTACTCAATATAGGTCAACATTTACTAGTGCCCACCACTACTCGTACCTCCTTTCCAAGGAAACCAGCAGACCACAAAAAAGGCAACATTTGGGCATGTCAAAAGAAAGTTTCGAAAAACCGATTGGATACTTTGGTTGGTCTAGGCCTACAGTTTCAATTTCAATGTCCTTATTTATAGAAGCAACTAGTGTGCAGTTCTAAGAATCCAACGGAGAAGCAGAACATTTCTAAGAATTATGTGAAGTAAAAGGGTTTAAATAGCTTTGGCTTTGTCATTTTAGCTCAGTTTCTATCAAGATGTCTTTTAAAAAATCATACGCTTGGGATTACTTTGAGAAAATAAAAGACGAAAAAAAAGGGCCTCCTGCAACATCTGCAAAAGCATAATAAAAGTTGACGGGTCTTCAACTTCAAGCCTCTTAAAGCATTTGGAGGGAAAACACCCAAATGAAATCGCAAGCAGGCAGAGCAGTACAGAAATACCATATATGATAATTGAAATGTCGGGTACTCGGGGTATTTTTTTCATTACCCGGGTATCAAATTACCGTGTAATCCCAGCCCTGGTAATCAATATGATCAATTTTGCTTAATAAAAAGCAAGCACAAACTCGCATACACTGATCTACACAGAAATTGTCTGACACTTTTGAGATAGAGAGGCTGTGCCTAGGTAGTCAGATGTCGTATTTTCATTGCAACATGTTACAGAGGGAAAAAAGTCTGCCTGTGCAAAACATCCCATAAATCGAAATTCCAGTCAGAAGAACTTTACTGAAAGCTCTCTCAGACAAATTTTTTATAGGAATGTCAAATGACAGCATCGCGTACAAATAAAACCGGGGTGCAAATCATGATGCAACCTCATTTGGCAACAATAAAACATTGTTCAGAAATGCATATATTCACTGCAGCTGACAAGGCAACAAAGTTGCAGCCTACTTTTTGTTGTTTTTTTTTTGGGGGGGGGGTAAGTGTTTTACGGCAATCGCAACTCCATAAGGTCATAATAGTCATATGAGCATGCGGGACACACCAAACAATTTCAGTCGGTAGGACATTTTGAATTTTGCCCGGGTGGCCGCCAAAGCCTACTCGTCAATTTCAGACCACCAAGGGATCTTTATTAACGCGTGTAGTTCTTTCCAGCCAGAAGATCAGGGGTGTGGCTGAAAGACAGCAGTAAGAAGGAGCCACGGAGTAGCAGTAGAAAGGGTGCAGAAAGAGTCAGGAGCCCAGTGGAGTGGGCAAAGGAGGTGAGGGGATGGGGGAAGAAAGTGGGGACGAAAGCAGACGACAGAATATTGTAAGAGAGAAGGAAAGAAGGTGAAAGTAGACAATTTTAGAGAAGAAAATCATTTGGTCGCTACCCGGATTCGAACCCAGGACCTTTGAATGAGAGGCGAACACCTTAACCTCTAGACCACAAGAGCCCCCTTGCCGCGTAGGAATTATTACTGAGTGTCATAAAGACAGTGAACAATAAAGTGTTGGATGTGATGAGCAGACAGTATGTTTCGGCTTTCTTTTGCTTTTAAGCATTTTTAATAAGTTATGAAGAAGAAAAAATTTATGACAGGCACAGCAAGCTGTGTACTCAGACATGATCATATGACTGTTAAAATCAAATATTCATCCCATATCAACAATCACTACAAAATTGACAAATGAGACAGACAGACATGTATTTGCACTGAAGTAAGGAAAATTTAGAATTTCAAGTAGAGAAAAACAGTTAAAATGTAAAAAGAGAAGAAGCCTCTTCAGATCTAGAAAAAAGCAAGATGAAGAAAAGAACTTATATAAGCTATTATGCTGTTTTAAATAAAAAAGAAAAAGGATCCACAAAGGACATCCACAAAAAGTTTTTAAAATCTGCTTACAGCGATCAAAGCACTACTGAACTGTAGCTTATATGGAGAGTGAAAAAGTGTGTCACCGACAAAAGAACTGAAACAAAAAGTGGAATTGGAAAAACCTTTTTGAGGTACATTATAATCAAGTACGTCAGCAACATAGATTTAAGTTTAAATATAAAGTGGAATAGTAAAAACTTTTTTGATGTATCCCATCAACTATGTCACCAATAGATATTTCAATTTAAAAAAGTGGAATAAAAGAAAAAAGACTTTTGACATATATAACCAGTTATGTCACCAACAAAAAAATCTATACTTCGGTAAAACATGGCACTGAAAAATCTTTTTTGATGTGCAGGACTTTGTAATCCTTCAGATCACAACAACTAGTAGTATCAGTAAAAATATAATATCAGTACACACACCAGATTTAAAAAATGACTAGATAAGCAACTGGACGGTCAAACTGTTTTGTCTGCCACCACCATACCATGGACTTGAAAGACATTTAATTCAGAATAACATGTACAGAGATAATAAATATGTCAACTGTGACCCTGTTATTTGAGAATACTTGCCTTTTAATTTGAAACATTATGATGCACAATACAGTGATCTCTGCCTAAGAACCTGGTCATTAAAAAAGGAAAGAAATGTTTTTCACCACACAGACCTGGTTTCAATTTTAAGGGGAACTACTCAGCTCTTATACATGTACTTAGCTTCCAGGTCATCACCCCTGTTTACAGATGACATATATGAGTTACGGGAGATCTTGACCCATTGATTCTATTATAATATATAAAAATACACTGTCTTGTCCACTCCTTTCCTTCCCTTCCCTACTCAGCTCCCCAACATTACAGCGTGCATTTCTCTGCCTTGGCAAAAACCTCTTTGCTTGCACAATATTATTATTATGGTAAAAAGCAAGGCGATATAAATCAGGCAAAACTTATTTCACCTAAGATAAAACCACAAACCCCTATCTGGAGCATATTTCTGTTACACAGTAAGAGTAAAAGAAGGCTCTTGGACTTAAACGGACCGGGTCCTAAAGCGGCGTTTTCTTAGGCAAAAAACATTATTCTATACATTCAGCATCAAATAGGCTATTTAAAAGTCCCTATAGAATCCTTTTATGTCATGACTTAACACCAAATCCACATTTGATTGGCATTACAAGTACAGGAATGTCACAGAAACAGCAAAAAACACAAACAGCAGATTACACCATCCAACAAGGAACAGTTGACAGAAAACACTGTCTCATACATTATAAATAACATTGTCTTGAAAAAGTTTTTAAAAATCTGATTTTACACAAAACATGAAATTGCAGACAGGAGTAGAAATGACACCTAGAGGCAAAAATATGCCCCAAAAGGAATGTCAGTTAATAAATAATTGGCAGTACCGGTATACTGGAATGAACATTTACACAAATCTAAGCATTTCATCAAACACGTGTTAAGGCCTTCAGAATCTTTCTGCTGAAGCACACCCCACAGCTCGCCTCTTTCAACTTCAAGATGTAAATTACATCCATATATGAGCCTTTGCCAATAGGTGGGGGTATCTTCATAAACCTTACAAAAGCCTTTCCTATTCCAATAAAAATGGTGCTACAGCTTTGAAATTTGTATATGTTGTGCTTAAGTTAATATGATGTTTCAGCAACAGGAGCAGAGAAATAGCAGTTGTGTCATCAGAAGAAATCTTACAAATATTTTTAGTTTTGAAATCAATGTACTTTTAGAATGCAAAACAAGAAGGGTCGAGTTCATACTTTTTCTGTCGTCAAGTTAAACAGTGAAATAATTGCTGAGAAACTTGTCCTTCTACACTTTTACTGTTATAACTACATTATTTGTGGTGCTATATCAGGAATAGTGATATCTGTAGCTATTTTTTCTTTGTGAGCCTTCTAGATTTTCATTTTGAAGCATAACTCGTGTAGTCATTTCGCAAGGCAACTTCGATTCCCCATGACTTCGTTTCTATCAGCCATTTTGGGGCCCTGGAACGAGCATAATATCGTTCAATGTTTACTCTCTGCCCTGACTGATTCCGAGGCTGTGACTGTGTGTAATTTTGCAGTGAACGAAAATCCCGCAACGCCTCGTGCTGTCATCATTTGTTATGCTCAAAAGAACCGATCAGAAAACGAGAAATAATAGGGGTGGAGGAACGTACATTATTGTTCCTGTCGATCCATTCAAAGCGTATTGTTATGCAATACAAGACGGCGAGAAGAATAACAATGGTTGAGACAAATTCATTTAAGTTTTCTTATGTCGTCATCACATCTTAACAGGTTGTGTTTGAAAAAAGCTGTTATGTCCGAAAAATGTTTCCCCCCATTTAGTTAAATTTAAAACAAGTAATGATTAACATCGCACTACGTTCCTACGGTCAAGTAGTGGTAGATCTAGATGCAACCACGCGTGCTTGGCTAGATGTAAACGAGAGGGGAAAATTTGATGTAAATTGATTTGATATGTTCCAAAATGACTACAAGCATTTATCCATTATGTGTCATCGTGGTTATGTTCGAAAGATATTTGGTATTTTGCATAGAGTCATAGTAAAATGTGAATTAACTGGCATTTTTTCACCATTAGCATGCCTTATGAGTCAAACTGACTCTCCTGAATCTTTGTCGGCCAACATTTTCCAAAAATGAATTAAAATATGAAAATGGAAAGTTTTTCATGAATGTTCTTTCGGACATAACTATGATGACACAAATGCGAACACAAGGACATTCAGTATTTCTTTATTCTGTGATTTTATATGCTCTTCATGCTTATATAAAATAATTTTACATTCCATAAATTACTGTTCAGGGTATTTTTCATTTTGTGTTATCATGGTTATGTTTGAAAGATATTTGATATTTTGAAGAGATTCATAGTACAATGTGAATAAAATGGCAGTTTTTCATATCAAACAACATACACTTTGAGTCAAATTGAATCTTATGAATTTTTGTTTGCTCAAATTTTCATAAAAGAAATTAAGATATGTAAACGGGAAATTTTTCCCTTTCTTTCGGACATAACTATGATGATAAAAATGCAAACACAATAGCATTCAGAATTTCTTTTTTCTGTGATCCTCACCATTTTATAGGCTCTTCATGCTTATGTTTGAAAATTAAAGCAATTAAAAAAAACTGTTTCAATAATTTTGTATGTTCAAATTCTAAAAAATATGTCATCACAATTATGTCTGAAAGAATTTGCCTTGATGTTATGTAACGCCAGTAACACAGCTTAGCATGCCATCTGTAGGTCTGTAAATACATGTTTTTGTTGGAGGAGATATACATGAATAGAAAAATTCAAGTAAAACCAAATTTTAAAAACTGTATCATCAACTCTCTGTCAGTGCTACATTTTCGGTACCCACCTATGGGCAAAAGCTCATAATAATAATATTTACAGTGAAACTCGGATTCTACGAAGTCATAGGGCCTATCCCTCAATTTAGTTGAATCTCAGTGCTCGATTAAACATGAGGTTTTTGTGGAGATAATTACAGGCACCGAGCAGGTAATGTATTTATAAAAAGGGAAGTAACAATAATGGTAGCCACCTTGAAATGCTTGCTTTTTTTTTTTACTTTACCCCTTTTCAATGTCATCCATCAAAAGCAGTTTGGTTTCAAATGAGAGGCATTTTCGTTTCTTTGATGCCATACCGAAAAAACGAAGAAATGCTGGAAAATTCCAGGACAATACACTGAACTCTACCAAGCACACACTGTGCAAAAGGGTCAATTCATTCAAATGTCACCTATGACATATAGTTAGCCAAAAAAGTTGTGTTGCTTTAGTGTCGAGCCTAGCATACAGCAACGTTTTGATTCCACAGAGCAGCGTACAATTTATTACGCAGATCTATGTCAAAACTAGCTTATTGTATTATAGGTCATCAGTCAGTGGGGAAAAAATATGACTGACTTGTTTGTATTTACTCACGTTCCACGCCCGGACTGTTTGTGCCCCCTACCCCAAGATACACGCTCGACACACCCTCACAGTCACACGTGTACTAGCCGCCCATCCGACCTCGACACATGCTAAGACATGTGTGCATGCCAACAATGCATGTCTTGGTATGAAAGAAGGCTGCTGATTGGTCACACAAGCTATAAACAATAGGCAAAGCGTTCACAATGCAGAGGTGCCATGGATGGTTTCCAGGGATAGATAAGATTCGTTGCTGGAGTAAAATGAGCGAAGCCACATCAGAGGGGACTGTTCACCCTGTAAGCAACTTTGTTGAATCCAAGGTTGTTGATATGTGTTCGTTGAATCAGAGTTATTTTTATTGATTTTAAAGAATTTTTTTTTTTTAAAACAGGGAATCCATCTCCATTTGTTGAAGTAACGTTTTCATGGAATCTGAGTTTGATGAATCAGAGTTCCACATGGTATTTATACATGTAAAACATTGACAACAAATCTAGAAAAGTAACTCAACTTTTTTCCACTTTTTGCTTTGACAAATCTAAAACTACAGGGCAATAGCCACTCCAGACTCAAACAAGAAGTCTTCTTTTCGCATCTCTTCCATAAAACCATAAAACAACCCATTTAAAAATCAAAACAAGAAAATTCTGGATAGAGCTAATAGAAAATCTAGTGATTCTCGTATTAACACAAATACAATGGCTGTCTGAAAAGTAAAGTGATAAAACCATTGAATACACAATCTGAACAAAATGTACATGTTTATGAAATATCACCAGTCAGCTACTCCTCAACACTGGTCCCACATGGATCGAAGCACTTTTTCCATTGGTAACAACAAGCAGCATGCATTGCTATTTACAATTCAATAAATTGTAAAGAGAGCAATTACTTTTAGTTATGATCATATTCACCTTACTTTTCAGAGAACTCTAGGAAAAGGCCTTTGAATTCATATGGCCTGCTTATCATAATGAATAAGATTATGCAAATTATTTCAGACAACACTTGAAAGATTTCCAGAGTGAGAGCTATGAACGTTTGCTTAGGACTTTCTTGAACGGAATCTTGTAAGGATGCTGCAGGCTTCTTGTACAGTGATGAACATTTTCTCTCCTTCCAATTTGGCTTCTTCTGTTCTTTGCAGGTCAGGGTGGTACTGCCGAGACATCTGCCTGCAAGCTTTCTTTATTTCTTCATAACTGGCATGTCGATCAAGGCCAAGTATCTGACAGAAATAAAAGATAAAGGAACATTCGTTCGTATGTGAAGATCACATTAAAAGAAATTCACCTGATTAAGCATGAAAAATCAAAGTTATAAAAAAAGACAATTTTCTTTATTAGATATTGTTACATGTGAGGAACACATGTTGCTGCAGTTATCAGCCAAAAAAGTCTTTCTTTCTTTGTACATTCATATGAGATTTCAGGACTAGTCCATGGTAGGTTCTTTGTCATTTTCTCAAATAATACTTCCACTTTTCCTTCGACTGTGTCCCTTCCTTCCGACATAAGTTATAACTTACAAGCCATACTGAAATAATATTTTAAAAATTGTCAAAATTCATAATGTTTTTAAAAGCTTACAACTGTAAGAGCGTCACAATTTCATCATTCTGTATCCCTTTTGATGGAAAGTTCACAAAACTTCCCACTAACTATCTAGGATAGTGAGCTACTTCAAATGTCATCCCTATCCCCAGTGCTCTGAGATACATACAGCATCATGTCAAATTGTTTTCTGAGGTATCGAATCAGCT